AGTCATCATCGTCAACTTCCTCACTAGACGGAGGACGCTGCTCGGGACTCTTGGTACGAGTCTTGCTTCGATGGGAGTGAGATCGATGTCTGCTCCGGTGCCTTTCCTCACTGTCACTCCTGGACCGACTCCGATGGCGACTCCGATGGCGGTCCCGTCTCTCGTCCTCAGAGTCACTATAAGCACGAACCGACTTCGACCGTGATTTGTGTCTGTGTCTTTCCCTGCTCCTGTCGCGGTCCCTGTCTTTCTCTTTGCGAGATTTCTTCCGTTCCTTGCGCCTTCGCCGTCTCTCATCCTCGGAATCTGTATCTGATTCGCTGGACGAATGACGTCTGTGTTTCTTCGACTTTTTGCGATGCTTGCGCTCAGGACTGGGAGATCTGTACAGAATGCATGAGTGATGTTGTTATGATAGAACAGAGTCTAAACGTACGTTCGAGTAGGAGCTTTCGGGGAAGGAGGCCATATACTGAACGTGCTATTCTCTCGTTGTTGCCTCCGACTGTGATAATGCTTGAGTACGTGTCAGGAAAATAGAAAGGATATTGTATGCATACCTTTCTAACCAGTCGGCTGTGGGTGGGAGTGCCCTCCTCTCTCCTCGAGGGGGATAGACATTCTCCTGTTGTCTCCACGGGGCTGTGCCATTCGTCGTATTTTCTCTGTCTCTCGAAGAGGGACGTCGATATTCTGAGTATTCTGGGCTGGGACGGCGAGCCCGCCCAGAGTCCCTTTCCCGCTTGTCATCCCTCTCCATATTCCGCTCCTTATCCACACTCCTGCTGCGACTACGTTTCCTCCCCCGCATGGCGTCTCTTTCCTCGTCGAAGTAGTCATCAGCCCGGGCTCTCTCGTGTCGTCTATCACTCCTACGATACTCTCCCCCATTCCTCCCAGATTCCTTGTCTTGCTCTCTTCTGTAATCTTGACTGTATCCATTGTCTCGTGAACGTGAACGTCTGCGCGGTGGTGACCGATCACGCATTGAGTCCCTGTCATGTGTAGACGACGTAGGTTCATGAGGCACCATTCCAAGTCGTGAGGGGTGTATGGTGGCCATTTTGTGTATCACAGATGTGATCCTGTTTCGCCACCGTAATAGCAGTAGACAGAATGCTTGTGCAACTCCAAGCTTGAGGTAGTCGTGTAGCCGGATGTCGTTTTGGAATGAGAAGGGCGTGGGAACATAGGCTTCTGCAGCCCATAAGAGGCAACGTGAAATGCCAAAGTAACCTCTCAACTTAACCTCCATTCTGAACGTTCAACTACCTCAAGTCGACGTGTAAGCTTCAGCTCATTTCATTATTTCTCGCAAATATCGCAACCGGCCCCCAAGTTGGGGGAATTTCAGGCGATAAGCAGTAAGTATCGCATTGCGGCCGCCAACATTTCTGGCCCGACCTTCAATTACCGCTAGAACGTTTGTACATTTCAGGCACCGGTATCACCGCAGCCACGGCCCACAGAGGGTCCAGAGTAGTGCCACAGCGTTCCACTTTGGAGCGGTTTGGTACGCTCCAGAGCTAATCCTACCATTTAACCCATTCTCCAGACTGTCGCCAGAGACTCAAGGCTCTCTTGATCGATATCGTGTCTCCTATCGCGTTATCTTTGGGCCTTGACAATGCAGTATTCATTGTAAGGTCTCTAAACTTCGAGGGGTAGCTCAGTGCCATGATGCCGAACAACCTATTATACTTGGACCTTTAAGGCCAATCCCGAGGTCAAAGATACGACGTTGCAACAAATTCCTGTTCCTTTTTTTTCTTCTGCCAGAAGAGGCCAGAAGGCGTGTTTGTCCAAACATCGCATTCGCTTAATTGTACTTCAGGAACAGGTCAGTAAACGCGTCGAGGCGTAACAATTCTAGTGCCTGACTGGAAGACGCGACCTTTCGTACTCGGTGAGGCACTAGCGTCGATCACATTTATACATCGTTGAAAAGGAGGAGGAAAAGCCATTGTCCACAGGCTTGCGGTCGACTGCTCCCCCCTGCCCCTCCCCCTTGACTTTGCGGACAGGATTCGAATATGCGTTCCCCTCTTTTCACGACCGCGCTCCTCGCAGCCCTTGTATCTACTGTATCGAGCCGTGCTACTCACCGTCTATCGAAGCGGAGCACAGATACATGCGCCTCTCTCATTAACAAACCCTTGGCCGTCACTGTCACCGTCGGATTACCTCCGGTATCCATAGGAATTATCAGTAAGTCTCCTCCCCGTGGTGCTTCGCGATGACTGAACGAACATTGATCTATCGTAGGCACTTGTTTATGCGTATCTGGAATTCCTAACTTCCTACAGTCGAATGTCGTTGGCCAAGCTGCGGTGGCGGTCGCGGGAGCACCAGCAGCGACTGCCGCTCTGCAGTCGTTGGTAAGAGATTGAATGACCGTCAATGATATTTGTTAAACACGATCACGACCCCTTTCCAGATTACAGCCTCGGGTAGTGTCTGTTCGTACCCTGATAATGCCGCCCCAATCTGTACCACATCGTAAGTTCGATACGAATTCATATACTTAGATCGCGATGCTCATCCCAGTCATGTAGCAATCCTTGCTCGTTCACTTGCTCGAATGGGTTCACTGCGACGAACCTAGACTGTGTTTGTCCTGCACCCTCACGAGTCTGCAATGGCGTTTGTGGCGACTTTGGTACTGCATGCCCGTCAGCCGTGCTTACGCCGGAAAAACGAGATGGCCTACAAAAACGTGGGGCTGTTTGTAGCAAGGGACTGACAGCCTGCGGAGTATACGGCTGGTCCCAGTCGAAGTCATGGGATTGCGTCGACACTCAAAACGACATTGAAAGTTGTACGTGGTCATTTCATGTTGATCGACCCGTGCATCGAGTCCCTGACTATTCTTTATACAAGGTGGTGGATGTGCTGTCCCTCTCACTCTCAGTTCGCCCGTCGGCGTCGACTGCACCACGATCCCCGGCGTCGCAGATGTATCATGCGTCACTGGGTCTTGCGCTGTTCACCGCTGCTTGCCTGGCTATGCGCGCTCAACAGACGGTAGCTTCTGCATTCGCAAGGCGACCATCAAGGGCGACCCTACAGCCTTTGATTATGGTCTCGAACACGTGCCTCTTAAGAGAAGGGTTTGGAAGGGTGCCCGGGACGAGCAGTAATGCACAATGTATAGCCATCGCCTCTGCATGTGGACATTTTTTAGATCTTCATGGACTATCGTTCACTTTTCCTCTGGGTAGTTTGTTTTTGGGTTTTCACGATATCTAGCGAGGCTGTTTGCAATCTCTGCGCCGCCAGTACACTCTAGAATAGAAGAAAGTTAATAACAGACTGGGTATAATCAATGTAAGCCTCATGACGAATTGGAGTTCTGTGGCGACCAAATTGTGCAAAACCCTGTGGTATACATTGCATAACCCAACTGTAGACTATCTTTATACAAGTGAATATAATATGAGTCTATATGGCACAACGAAAGGCATAGGAAAAACTGCGTTTATGTATAGGATCGAGAACAAGTTAAAACAATGGGCAGGCATACTAGGATGTAGTGGTCCTTTGACAACAGCAAGAGAGCAAGCATGAGAATAATAGAAAGTATATTATGCCTTCATTGCCTTGACAATCTTGACATCAATCCCGTGCTTCAGTGCCCGGCTGTATGGACAAAACTATGGGGGAGGTGAATATCTTCTGCATGACGTCATAGACATTATGATGGACGCGTACCTCATGCGCGGCTGCGATAATGGCGTCGTCGTCGCAGCCCTCGACAGTAATCTCAACACGAAGGCCAAACCCGTCGAGGTTGGCATCTTCGGGGTGTCCGAGAAAGACGGAAGTATGAACTTTAGCTTTCTCCGCGAGCTCCTTCTTGTTGGCACGAGAAGCAGCGAGCTGCAGGGCGCCCAAGAAGCATGCTATACAGCCGGGTCAGTACACAGAAGAGGAAGATTGAATGATGGAGCATACAGGAGTAACCCATGGCGAACAGTTGTTCTGGATTCTGACCTTCGCCCTTCCCCCCGGCAGCCTTAGGAGTTGACATCTTGAGTTCAAGCGGGGAGTCTCCGTTAGACTTAACAATGCCGTTCCGGCCAGCCCCTTCGGCTGTCGCCTTTGCAAAGTACTGTGGACATTTGTGAGTCCATGAAGCAATGAATATCATGCAGTACGAGATACTTACGACATGGTCTTTGAGAGTCAGAAGGCCGCGAGCGTGTTGTGGGTTGGGGAAGCGAGTATAGCGTCCTGCAGCGCCCTTCATGACACGGGCGGTGAGGGGGCGGAGGAGGACCTGAGAGGGATACATGGACGATAGTTGGCAGCGATGAGGGGGATTATAGCACAAGGAAGATTATGCGTGGAAGCAGGTAGAAATAGAGCGACAGTACGGTTCACTAGAGAAGGCGTCTATATAAGTCGTAACAGTCGTGGCAAAGATTCGTGAGAGACGACGTGTGTTTGCAGAAACCGTGAGTTTGTGTTCTTGTCAGATCCATGCATGCGGCTCAGGTCTTATATATGCCAGCAAGGAGCTGAAATTTTGAGAGTGAAATAGCTCGACGGACATCATTTCTACTCCATTTTCGTCATCACCAGCCCGGAACAAGATTGAATGAAGCTTTCCACCCTCTGTGGACCTTCAGGAACGAGGTCATTGTTGGCACCGATGATGAAGGACGTTGCATACTGAGCCGAATGCGCCGGGGACGCTCCGACACGGTGAACAGTGAGGCCGCCGTGAAATTTGTCTCACAGAGAAGGTGGAGGTGGTTACGACCAGGACCTGTTACGACTTCTCTCCTCGCGCTCCAAGGCTGCTCCCGAAGTTACTCCAGAGCCTCCAACGTCTGAATCGCAAATAACGCTCGATAGGAAATTGGGAATCCGGCCTAGCCTTAGGGTCCTTTGGCTGGTGGTAAGCTTCAGAAATTTCAAGTTTGGAGGGAGCAAGGAGACAGACGACTACAAGTTAGTCATACGTCCACAGACCTCTCAGTCTTCGATTCTCAGCGGACCCCATAGCTCAGTGGTAGAGCGTGAGATTCCAGTCAGTTTAGTAATCCTTCGTGACTTGACTCCTCAAGGCCATCCGTTCGATCCGGGTTGGGGTCATCGCTGTTGTCGAATTTTTTGGATGAAAGAGTAACTAGTACTACTAACGACGCGTCGGTTTCCTTCTTGCAACCTCCCACCTGAAGCTTCCCGATCTACCGATATGTAAGTAGTACTCGTCAACCTAGCACTGGTTAACTTCTGCCACTTGTGTTTATAGAGATCACCCATTGCAGGAGAATACAGTGAACATGTACCGTCCGAATCCATACGACCAACCACCCGATTTTCGGGCATTAGCTGATGCCTATATTGCCCTAAAACCTCAGTAAGTCTATGCGTTGCCTGTTTCGTAAGTCCTGACTCCCGAATTTCTTTGGTACAGTTTGAAGGAGATACGTAGCGGAGTCACAATTGACTTCCATGACCCAAATGCTGTTAGGTCCGTTTGTTGAATTCTTTGTGTAGGCGTGATATTCATTATTCATATTCTTCCGACGCAGATGCTTGACAGAAGCTCTGCTCCATCGTGACTTTGATTTGAGCATGACGCTCCCCGAGAACAGGCTCTGTCCTCCTGTGAGTTTTGCATGCTGCTCTGAACGGCATAGTACAGACAATGATCATTACAGGTACCAAATAGGCAGGCAACTATTAACCTAGTATTCACCTGTCCGGTCAAGCAATAACTAGGATTCTACGTAGGGTTAACTACATCCTATTGCTGGAACATATCGTGTCCGCCATGTCCCTAGCCTTTGGTGAGGGTGATAGGAGTACGATATTTGGTCTTGATATGTGCGTTCTAGGTCTTTACCGTCGCACACAGCGAGAGGCTCAGGAACTGTCATGACTCAAGTGGGACAGGTGCCTCTGCGATATATCCTCTCCTCGGCTGTCGAAGAAACAAGAACTGGCACTTTACGGCTACGGAGGTGGACGAGGTATGCGCGGAATATGCCAGCAAGAATATCAACCAGAACCGTCTACACGACAGAATCACACTGGTGAGATCACGTCCATCGGGCCCGATTTTCCCGATGGAGAGCACAAGCATTACCTACGATTTCACCATGTGTAACCCTCCTTTCTACTGTGATCGTGAAGAAGTTCTGCGGTCAGCCGAGGCGAAGGAGGTTGGACCGAATGCCGTGCGTACACTTCGGAGTGAGAGAACGCCCTTGACTGACCAGTGCGAAGGTTTGTACCGGTGCCGACATAGAAATGATCACACCTGGAGGGGAAGCAGGCTTCGTGCGTCGCATGATCGAGGAGAGCGTCCACTATCCCAATAGATGCAGGTAAGAACTCAGCATTCGCCGAATCCAAGATAATATACCCTGGACATATATTCTCTAGGTGGTACACATCAATGCTGGGCAAGATGTCGTCACTGACCGAGCTGGTCAAGATATTGCACGCTAAAAAGGTATGATCGTTCGCGTAGACTTATCGAGAGTTTGCTTCCAATGCCCTATCGTAGATTCAGAATTATGGTATCACTGAACTCGTTCAAGGAACAACCAAACGTTGGGTAATAGCATGGTCTTTCACGGACGCGCACCTACCAGATGTGAGTACCACAGCGCAGACCATTGAGAGGAGGTCATAACGTATACTCGTAGTCATTGGGGAGGATAGCTAATCCCGCACTGCAAACCATCATGCCTTCGAAGAACACCCTTAAGCATACGATCCCTTTCATAACCTCCGAGGATGACATTCACATCAAACTCGCTCAAATCTTGACGAATGTGGAAGGATTGAAGACGCGCCCGAGCAAAACAAGTGGAACGGAGACGGAATCGCCCCCGGGAGTCATTATAGAAGCTATTGGAAACACTTGGTCCAGGGCGGCACGACGGAAGAAACTTACTGCAACGTCACAAAGGGGAGATTCTGCGGGACAGTCGGTACCTCAGCTGGTGTGTCATATTGCGGTGAACAGTGGGCAGGATAAGGCAGAATCACAGCGATCAGTCTCCCAACGAGTTGAGCTAATATTTCAGTGGTTGAGAGGATGCGAAAGGACATTGTTCGAAAGCTTCGTTAGCCATATCTGTAGGAAAGTAGATAGCAGCCTGTCGACTAGCGATGCAGAACGGATGGATATTGCCTGAATCGGCCATGTCGTGCAGAGAACATCTTCAACGGAGGGAAGTGTCAATGGCAAAGTGCTCTGGTCAGAGAGTCTATTGTTTCGTGGGCTATGTATTAATGGTGTTCTGAATGTGCGCCGTGACCATGGTCATCATGTCCGTGACCCTCCCATGGGTGTTTCAGACCCTGTCATCGACGTAAGCTACCAAAGGGGCATAGGATCAAATAGGACACACCAAGAGCTTAGCCCCATCCTTCCTGCATCGGATATGAGTCGCTTGAAGATTAGATGATAACCATTACAATACGAACCTTGCACGGTAGAAGATGAAGAACCACATTGTTGCACCGAGGGTGGTCGAAAGCAGCTTGTACTTGAAGCCAGGGAGGTGTGGGTTGAACCCGGGTCCAGAAGCTATATCAATTTCCTTTCAATAGACCGCCAAACATTGCAAGAGAGTCAGTAGGAGTTTACCGTGTCCGGCCATGGCGAAAGTGAGAGGACGAGGTGAGTATTTGCGCTTGTTGTGACCGCACAGCGGCGGTAAGTACCCAAACTAGGTAACCCCGACATCATATGGGCGCTCGAACTAATTTACATCCTTTGCGCTTCGGACGAGTCTTGAGAAGTCCACCACCGTCACTTTCACGGTCTCTCGTGTAGAAAGCCTCTTCGCTTTGGGAACATGGAGAGCAAGAAGCGGAAGCGAGAAGACGACGCGTCTGACTGCGTGCTTACTTTCTACGCACCCAATGACCGAGTTTTTGAACGGGTCCTAAAGGGTCTGTTCGAACGTCTACTAAACACACATTTAAGACTAACGAGACAATGATACAGAGACGTCGCTACAGGAGCTCAAGAAAAACATACGTGGAAAGATAACTGCAGGAGAGGGCCCATTCAAACTCGCTCAGGTGCGAGACGGCCACCTGGTGGACTTGGACGACGGTGTGTTATGATCCCAAACAAAATACCATTTACCGGATATTGATAGTTGGGACAAAACAGAGGACGACTTTGAAGCTCTTCAAACCCGTGCCTCTGCCATAAAATCTATCGACATTATCGTCTCTGTTGGGAAGTCTTCTGATCTCCAGATTCCCCCACATTATGTTGCCAAACCTACCCTCTCGGCTGTAGCTGTGGAAGACGATGATGTATGCATTTTCATTGTTTTTGTACCGTGAAGAACATCTCTAACTCTGGTTATAGACTCAGAGGAAAAAGAAGCGCAAGAAGAATCTGAATGCCGGTGTCTCTTCCGCTGTGGGGACGCCGACTAAAGGTATTGACGCGAGTCAACAAGCTCAGCTAGCTTTCGGTTCGATCCAGAAAGAACCTGCGACCACTGAGCGTAAGAAACATGTGAGCTGGTCTGAAGACAGGCAAATTGCCCGTGAAGGGCAGAGTACACCCGTCTATGCCCAAGTGAAGCACATTCGCACGAATGCTGGTGTACCTCCGTCTCCTTCGATTCTGAAGAAGCATCCCCAGATTTATCCTCTTGTTCCTCCTCTTTCAGGCGTCAATCCTACCGCTTCTACCTCTAATGTAATGGTAGTCTTGCGATTCGTCCCGCTATTGTGTATTCTCACACTTTCCCCATAGGTTCCCGTCAGTACCAGCCTAACCCAAGCCGCAATTGCAGCTGTCAAGAGCGGTAAAACGTCTGATACCGGCGATAAACCGTCCAAGAAGAAGAAGCGTCGACGAGAGAGCCAACTCGGCGGAGTAGAACCGAATGGGCAGGATCAAGAGCATCGTGATGCAACTCTTGCTACGACACCGACGCAAATACCTCATCTCGATGATGTGTTCACTGTAAACGGGGATTCGTCCAAGAAGAAGAAACGTTGGAAGTCCGAGCGTGAAAACCCTCAGGCGGATGATAATGCCGAGGCAGAGGCTTCATCGGAGAGGTCGAAGGGCAAATCGAAAGAACCTAATCAGGAAAGTCAAAACTCCAAGGTAGTGCCCGAGGTGAGTACTGTGATCAATATTCTCCTATATCCTTCGTCAATTTGTTGTGAGTATAGACAGACTCTTCGCTAGCCACCACGTCGCAAGTAACCAAGAAGGAGAAGAAGAAGAAGGCGAAGAAAGCAATGGAGTCTGCTGACTCCGCGTCGCCTTCTCCAACTTCCGACGCAACATCGCGTGATACTAAGAAGGAGGAAAAGAAAGCGAAGAAAGCCAAAGAGCCTGCGGCCACAGCTGACTCCGTTTCCAGTTCTTCTGCAGATCCCACTTCTGCATCACAAGATGCTAAGAAAGAGAGGAAGAAGAAGAAGAAGGCGAAAGAAGGGGAACTCACCACTGATTCTGCTGCCGGGCCCTCCCCCGCGTCCAACCCTGCGACACCGGAAGAAGGAGTAGAGGCAACATCATCGAAGGAGAAGAAGCGGAAGTCCAAGAAGGCGGAGAAGGGCGCTGATGTTGCTCAAGGTGAGATGTCTTGATAGCCTACGACTTTTCTCATATTGACCCTTCGTATAGTAGAACATCGTGACCCTGTATCGTCCGGAGAAGGTAGCAAGAAATCGAGACATTCGAAAGGTTAAAATTCATCTGGTATACATCTTTTCAGTGAACATTGATCACTGTACTCTATTATAGACAAGCAACGTGTGCAACAAGAGCACGATGCTAGGTCGTCCCAACCAGGTACGTATATATTATCTATAAATAGGTGTCGGGGTGGTTAGTGACGTTCCTACCCACTTGATAGAGCCGACAGCCACAAAACCTACTGAGATCTCTGACAACGCCTCGAAAAAGGCACTTACAGCTAGTGAACAGATTGTTGCTGACGCCATGGCGGCTGTATTGGCCAGGGCTAAAGCTAGTCGACAAGCTGCTTTGCATCAAACCGGAGGTACCTCGAGTAGTAGCGGTCCCTCCGTTGGTGCGCAACCCACATCTTCCGCGGCTGATGGGACTGTTGGTGCCGTGTCCTCGA